AAATCATTTTTTGTAAAATTCCATGAAAAATGTTTTGTAATAACTTTTTTATTTTTTACTGTTCTGATCACAACCATCCTCATTACCTCGTAAGAGCCATATGTGGTAACTGTCCAGGGTTGTTAATCTGTATCTCCCGCCAGGAAATATACCGAATTCTAAGAAGTAGGTACTGCATAAAGATGCATATTTTATATTAAGCAGTTATATTTAGCAGTAAACTGGTAACTCAGTGGCATTCCTATAGCATATGCTATAGAAATATACAGTGTCCATATATATATATGGCACTCATGTAAAAAACACACATATCCACATATGGGGCAGTAATAGTATAATAGTATTTGTTGAACACAATATTTGGTTTTCACACAAATCCACCTTTTGCAAATCAATTGTTCCTCTTCTCAACATACCCCAGGCTGGCAAAAGACAAGTGAAAATAAAATCCCTGCCGGACATAGTGGTATAAAAAGCATTTTCCGTTTTATGTGCACTTTACAACCCAGAGAAAATAACAAATTCATTTTATTTCTGTGCAGTAGTTTCTAAAATATAATCAGAAATGCTAGTAAACATTTAACTTCAGATTAGCTTTTTCAAAACTTTTAAGCGCTGGAGTGAAAGATTTGCTTACACTCTGAAGCGGGTGCTGGGCATCTTTTTTAAGCTTCCCTTGGCATCTCATTTTCACGCACCATCTGAGATGACTTGGAAAACACCAGAAAATAACACCACCACTTCCACAAAACAACTGCCTGGACAGTGCCTATTTCTACAGCCATCATTTATAGAACTCTTTTTCTGGGAAGAAATTTTATTTTAAGCGTCAATACTAAAAGATGATATATTTGGAGTTGGCTGCTTCAATCAGTAAATGTAGTCAGCAACTACACAGAAAGAACTTATTTTTAATAATTGGAAGAAGAAATATTTCTAGCTGTTATTTTAAAATGTCTAGAAAGGAAAAAAAATTGTTTTTGTGGAATTATTAGCATACAGTCTGTGTAGTTTAAAATGGCTGTGTAAAATGTCATCATGTGATTTTTTTACAGTGAGCATGACCCAAAAATGAGGAAAAGACTATGAGTCTATTTTTTCTGCAGCCTGCCTTCCTTCTTTGTGCAAATAAGGCTAAGAACTTCCTTCACATTGTAAGCAAAGGCTGAATGCCATTGCTGAAATATTTGAGAAAGCAGTTTCATCAGCAGAGATCAATTTCTAGAATCATTCACAATTCAACATTTTCTAAGATGTGTAAAAATTATTATAGCTTTAGTCTTGACAGCTGCCTTTTTAAGGAAATAAACAGCAGAAAACATATAAACACATGCATATACTTATATACAAACACACATGCACATTCACCACACAGTTTATGAAGAGATATACAGTGTCCATTGAATCACTCAGCTTCATTGAATGAATATGCAGACATTTAAAAAAGTAATGAAAATTTCAAGTGATACTAAAAAATAATTTTGGTGTCCTGTTATTACAAATGTTGACTTATTTATATATATATATATATATTGCGTGTATATAGATATAAGCAGAGAAAAATATATCAATATAAATGTACAGTAAATATGTGTTTTTACATATATTTAAAATATAAAATAATATAACAAAGAAGGGCCGGCTGCCGTGAGTCACACCTACAATCCCAGCACTTTGGGAGACTGAGATAGGTGGATCACCTGAGGTCAGAAGTTTGAGACCAGCCTAGCCAACATGGTGAAACCCTGACTCTAGCAAATACAAAAATTAGCCAGGCGTGGTGGTGGGGGCCTGTAGTTCCAGCTACTTGGGAGCCTGAGGCAGAAGAATCTCTTGAGCCTGAGAGGCAGAGGTTGCAGTGAACTGAGATCAGACCACTGCACTCCAGCCTGGGCAATCAGAGTGAAACTTTAACTTGAAAACAAAAAAAAGAAAAAAAAAAAAAAAGTTTTCTCTAGGTAAGATAATGATAGAAATTTTCATTTTTGCTACTGAAATTATTTTACTATTGAAATAAAGAAAATGTTATAATAGCCAACATGAGGCCAATGTCATTTATTTAATATCAAAATTAATATTGGAAATATGTCTATACTTTAGGCTACCACCTATCTGCCTGAAATAATTAGCATGAATGACTAATTTTAAATATTGCCTAGCAATGCAGTTCTCTTTGAAGATATTATCATGTGATAAACTGCTATAAAAAGTCTAATTGTCTTCAGAGTTTTATAGTCATCAACTTCATTTTCAGTTCAACATTTTAACATATTTTCCCATATTTTTTTCTGAAGCTTTAATCTCTGCAAAGCCCATCTCTAAATTAGAAGGAAAAGATAGACAGTGACGGGGAGCAGCAATTAACTGTAATTTGGATCTTGGATATAACTAAAAACACATTTTGCTTCTTTATTTTTATGTCAGTTTGCAAAGAAAACAGTTCTGACTTTAGCTAAATGAAGAAATTTTTGTTTTATTTTTCTTTTTATAATTCTACTTATATCACATTTCAAAGCCTACTTTGAATTTTCACTCAGTTCCTGCGATATTACCATAGACTCTTTGAGCTGTTGGAAAAATGGATCCATTTTATAAAATCATTCCTTTTGCATTGAGCTTTGCCTGTCTCATATATTTAGATAAATTTGAAAGCAAAAGCAATACCCACTGTGTTGAATATCTTTAATAGCATGGTTGAAATTTATAATTTGAAATTCATAAGTTCAAAGAACATTTATCTACCGCTTGATTTTACGCTTGAAACTTCCTAAGCTTCACAGTAGTTTGAAAAAAAAAATTAGAAGGACAGAAAAACTGCCTCCTGTCATTCATAGTGATTTTCTTTATGTTTGAGTAAAATATGCAGAAACTTTTAAAGGAACATCAAAACCTCGTTCCCTCTTATTGTTGCCATATTATTTTTAATATATTACCCAATCAAGTTGTTATGCTATGCTTATACTCTTACACAAATACGCTTTTAGAACAAATTTTGAAGGACATACAAGTCCACAAAATGAATAAGTTTACATTGGTAACATTAATACAAAGAATGATTTTATTTTATTGAACTTAAACCAGACTCTTGAGTTTAGGAGCACAGATATAGCCACAGTTGAACTTACATTTATTCAGGCTATATTTGCGCTGTTAATTACTCATGCTAACACACAGGAAGCTTATTTGCAACAGGATATTTATATAATTTGAAACATTTTCAGAGTTCTTTTGTGTGTGTTGAAATGTTAAGATAACATAATTCATTCTTGTTTTTTTTTTTTTTTTGAGACTGAGTCTCACACTGCCACCCCAGCTGGTGTTCAATGGCTTGATCTCGGCTCACTGCAACCTCTGCCTCCCAGGTTCAAGCATTTCTCCTGCCTCAGCCTCCTGAGTAGCTGGGATTACAGAGGTCTGCCACCACGCCCAGCTAATTTTTTGTATTTTTAGTAGAGACAGGAGTTTCACTATGTTGACCAGTCCGGCCTCAAACTCCTGACCTCGTGATCCTCCCACCTTGGCCTCCTAAAGTGCTGGGATTACAGGTGTGGGCCTCCGTGCCCGGCCAACAGAACTCATTTTTAACCAAACCTTTGCAAAAGAGCAGTGCTCGTATGCAGATTTTAAGACATAGCCCAAATAGAGATGCTGCAAAAGTTTAACATTTTTCTTTTGGGTGATCTGTTGATTGCAAAGCACTTTTAGACATAACAGTTTGTATGCTGAATCAAATGTCTGTACCCAAATGAGCAAGAATAGTTTAAAACCTTTACATCAGCATCTGCATAAAAAATAATGTACATATTATTTATAAGAATATATTATGTATATATGTATACATTTATATTATGTATAAGAATATATTTATAGAAATATGTTACTAGAAAATTGTATATGATGCAATATTTCATTTTATGTAATATTTTATGTACATATTTATTTATTTATAGGTAACTTATAGACCTTTAAGACTATGTACATTTTTCATTTATCCTTGGTCTCCAGTTTGAATAACACTGACTTATGGCATCACACTGATAATTTTCTCTACTATTTAGTTCTCTTCACTATTGCTATTCATGTGTATTTTATTCCATGCTCTAATGTAGTGTACTACACATGTGTTGAATTTTAAGAGAAATTAACAGAATTTCAATGTTTTTCTACATTACTCAACATAAATATTCTATAGATAGAATGAATTAGAGCAAGCTATTTGTGAATCTGAAAGAATAATCAGTGATTCTGCCAATCATCTGTTAAGAGCGGTAAACTCATTTAAACTCAGCCTGTTAAAAATGAGATATGCTCTGCTATATATGACTGAAACCTCTTGGTGTGCCAGATTTCTTCTTTCTTTAGGAATGACAACGCTTAGTGTTTTCTGAGTTCCTTTGCATTACCTCCCACTGGCTTCAGGTCATTGATTTCATCTTTAGAACATTTGGAAAGTTTATTTTGTGAATGTTTATGAGCTAATTTATTTTTATTGCAATGATTATTTAAAAGGAAACAATAAGTACACTGAAGATTTGTGCACATCATTGAAAATGTTATGCCAAAGGGATACAAAAAAACTCAAAACAAATTTTCAAAATTTGTTGTTGTTTTTTTGCCTGCTGATGTACCTGAGGTTGTACTTTTTTTCCGATCTCCAAAATACCTCAAAAAAAATAAATAAATAAATAAAAGCTGGATTAAGAGAAGGATGAACAGGAGAATGGATATGAAATCTATCTGATAAGGCAAGAAGATTAAAAGATGAATAGAGAATGTCTTCAGTATATATGTGTTCATTGCACAGTTTTCAACTCTTTGTGTTACAATTTTTATAGTAAGAAGTTGGAGAAGTAAAAAACAAAAAACAGAACCATAAGATTTTGGTTTAACATTTTCAGTTAAAGAAATTGTGTTGCAAATTATGACTTCTTAATATGACAACATCCCTTTAATGGTGTTCTTTCTTTCTCCTTCTCTTTCTCTCCTTCTCTTCCCTAAAGCTGCATTCCGACTTAGACAAGGGAGAGGGCACTGTTAAATACACCCTCTCAGGAGATGGCGCTGGCACCGTTTTTACCATTGATGAAACCACAGGGGACATACATGCCATAAGGAGCCTAGATAGAGAAGAAAAACCTTTCTACACTCTTCGTGCTCAGGCTGTGGATATAGAAACCAGAAAGCCCCTGGAGCCTGAATCAGAATTCATCATCAAAGTACAGGATATTAATGATAATGAGCCAAAGTTTTTGGATGGACCTTATGTTGCTACTGTTCCAGAAATGTCTCCTGTAGGTGAGTAGGCAAATCAAAGTTCCGTGAGATGTTACAAGACCTCTTTAACATTTACTTTGTGCAGGTTGATTTGTCATAGAAAGATTATTTTTCAATTCTAGAAAATACAGTTTTTCTCATTTATTTTCGTAACTTTATGTTTTTCTTTCTTCATTAAGAAGACAGCTAAACGTGTAAACATATGTAAACATTTAAAAATAGTAAAGTCTTTGAAATGTAAGGGCAAAATGTCAACTCTGTATTATAATTTAAGACGAATTAAGAAGACAGCTACTAGAATATATAACATTCTTTACTGTTTTCCAACCTGTTAATTTACCTGAACTCTTAGATTCCTTGTGTGCTTTAAGTAATATATTTTTTTTTATTGAAATTGATTGTCATCGTAATTTCGGACACCTATCTAGTGCTGGAGATACCTGCCCTACACTGTGAAATGCCAGATAATAATTCTTAGCTCAGAGTAAATTATCTAAAGCATGCATCACATCTGATCAGAGGTGGTCCAGAAACAGATGTGTTGCATCCTTTGTAGCAACAGCCATCATTTATAGAACTCTTTTTCTGAGGTTGATAGAGATTCTGGAAGGGTGATATTGTTTCCTTTTCAGGGTAAATAATCCACACTTGTTATGCCATCAAGCCAAGGTGCAAATGAATAATGTCATGAAATCATTATTAGAATAACAAGTAGAATTTAGTAGCACCATCATTCTAAAAATTTAAATTTGACATAAATATACATTTCCGTATCAGCCTAAATTTACAAACTCCTGTAATATGTAGGATATAAGGTCAATAAGTTAAAAATTCCAGCTTTAAAGATTATTTTAAATTATAATTTTTATTCCTCAGTCACTGCTGCTAATCCTTCAATTTATTTCAAAGTAACTTCTGGTTTTTATTACATTGGGAAGATAAAGCAACTTATCACATGTAGGTTACAACTTAAAACTCGTGTGTGAGCCATTGCTAATATTTTCTAAATCTGATGTGCCTCAGAGGGGTTCTGATGCTCCTACAACCACCCAGGACATGCGATGAAGATTGTGCACGCTACCCCTAGGGCAGAGCAGGTCGGTAGCTGTAGGAGCTGTCACATGGATTTACTATAAATGCACTTGAAATTGTGTATGTGACCTTATCAGGCATTTAAAGACTAATCTCTCCTTGACCTGAGAAATCAGCTTGAAGTAATTCACTTAGATTTCAAATTTTAATGTGCATACCCATGCCTGCAAATCTGTTATTCAGTACCTGCTACACTTTTGGGGTGCCTCTTTTAGACACTGTTATGATTGCTAGAAATTTAGAAGTCCAATTGGAAAGAAGCATATCTTGTTAGAAAGTAGTCCCAGAAAACAGGGAGGCTGTATTTTAACTGTATCTTGATTATACAGAGGGAAAAATAAAGTTAATATTTTGAGGAGGAAAGAAAGGCTTTTAAGATGACATGCTATATAGTAGACAAATAGTTTAACTCAGTACCTACTTCATGTACACTGGACATATTAACTTGAATGTATGACCCTCTGTGACTTTGTATTACCAAAACAGCTTCTTTAAAGCAAACACACACACATGCCTCTCCAGTATTGGAAAATTCTGTCTTAATAGATAAAACAATTAGGATTTTGTTTTGCCAATTAGAATAACTAGGGCTGCAGAGCTGAAGCCCTCTTATAAGGAGTTTGCAGCTCATATCCAAAGAGAGAAATATATTTAGAAAGTCAAAAGTGTAGGTAAGTGAGAACACAGAGTAGTTTCAGCTTTTGCAGGTGGAATGGGATATAACTTACTGCGCTGTCATAAGATATTGGAAACATCTTTGAAAGAATAGATTCTTAAAGTGTTTGGTCTCATGCCGTTAATGAAATTTCCCATTGGGCCTTCAAGACAACTCCAGTAAAGACTTAAACGGATTTTCAGTGCACCACTTTCTTTTATTTTTCTTTCTTTATTTAGAGACTGGATCTTGGTCTTTTGCCCTAGCTGCAGAGCAATGGCCCAATCTTAGCTCACTGAAGCCTTACATTCCTGGGCTGAGATCCCTCCAACCTCAGCCTCCTTAATAGCCAACTGTGTGCCACCCACTGCCTGGCTAATTTTTTTTTTTGTTACCTTTTTGTAGAGAGGGGATCCAGCTGTGTTGCCAGGCTGTTCTCAGATAGTTTCCACCTCAAATGATCCTTCCACCTTCGCTTCCCAGAGCACAGGGATCACAGGCATGAGCCACCCTTCTGGCTCTCTAAAAAAAATAAAAATTTATTGCATTTTGGGTTTTGGGGTACATGTGAAGAACATGCAAGATTGTTGCATAGGTACACACATGGCAGCGTGATTTGCTGCCTTCCTCCCCTTCACCTATATCTGACATTTCTCCCCATGCTATCTCTCCCCAACTCCCCACCCCCCGCTGTCCCTCCCCTTTTTCCCCCAATGGACCCCAGTGTGTGATGCTCCCCTCCCTGTGTCCATGTGTTCTCATTGTTCAACACCCGCCTATGAGTGAGAGCATGCGGTGTTTGATTAATAGCAGAAGGGTATTTCTTTGGAATTTGAAATTTTACCACATGGTGTGAGTTGGTCCAGGTGTTTTTATACTAAATTTACATAGTATGTACTTTTCACATAAGTATAAAGAAGTATAAACACTAGTTATGAATTGAATGCTAAAAATTAAATCTCTATGCATTACTTTTGCCTTTCCCCATAATCTCACGTATACACATAAAACAAAAAACAAGGACACCCAATTACAGTTGTGATATCTGCTGTTTCTGCCTTGAAATTTCTAACCTACAGCCTACTGTGTATCCAGGACTTACATGTATGTTCCCAGAGTACTTGAAGTCCATTTTCAAGTGCACCCTTCCTACCAGGTGAAAATAGTTCACTGCTATAATAATCTAAGAAAATATGATGTTTTTCTCTATTTTTTTCCTCTCATATAATCTAGGCAATTCTGCCTCTGTATCACTTTCCTGAGAATACAAAAATAATTTTTAATCAAGGCCAGATGGAACTTTGGTATATTTACAGTATATCTATTGTTTTGACTAGTCTCACTGTCTGTTGTGATAAAATTTGAGGTACTCCCTATGAAATAACTTTTCTGTCCCTAGAATTGAGAATACTAGTGTTTCATTTTCAACAAAAGAGAAGATTGAACCAGTTAAAAAATACATATAGTGAAAAACTTATTTTGTAACATAGAACATAACATGAAGAAATATTGGAATATGGAGATGAAGTTTAACAGTAATGGATTCTATATCCAGAAATATGAACAAATAAATGTGCAACGAAAATTTACTAATGTTACTAATTTTCACTTGTGTAAAGAGAACATTACAGAGAACATAATGTACAAAGAGAGAACAGTGTTGGGTAGAGAGGGTCAAGATCTCAGAGGAGGATCAATATTTAAGACTTACAGCACTATGGAATATATTCAATTTCCTAAAATTGAAGAAAATTCCAGTGAATCTATGAATTGTTTAAGACAAAGGTCACTCTGTTACTGACTTCTGATACATCTAATATTCCAGGGAAGTATTACTTCGAGATAAAGAGCTTTTACTCTGACCTAAGGAAATTACTTAATGATCCAGATATTCCTAAATTCAAAGCTCCTCCTTGGAGACAAATTTGGGCTTTATGAAAGTGGACTTAATTTTTTAAGATCACTAGAGCAACAATAAATTACAGGAATGTACCCTCTTTAATATCTGATGATTACGCATAAGTGGGGTGTGCAGTTTTAAGTTACTTTTCCTAGAGTGCTGACAGGTTTAGAGTGTTAAATCCATACTCAACTTGTATTATCTTCCTCTGCTTGAGCTATGCCAACTTGAGGCAGCTGATTTGACTATTTATAATTAGATGCCTAACTTATGATATGATAGAGTAGATGTCAATGGTGACTCATGATTTATGTAGTAAGTCTTACCATTTTGTAATCAATAGTCAGGTGCCATGTGATCTAAATAAGATTTGTATTTTTAATTTTTAATAACCACATGCAGTATTATTTACTGTTTGATTTTTTTTTAATGTGAAAACTTAATAACCCTGATGGATAAGAAAGTAAGAATGAGTCTTAGGCACTTTAGAACCAAATTAAACATAATCAAGTATGCCATTTTGTTTATGTCTCATGGCTGCTAAAACATCTTTGGGAAAGTTAAACTTGGCTTTCAATTTCACATGATCGGGTTAAGAGTTTGGAACATTTATATTATATTATTTAAGAAGGGGGATGCCTGCTTAAAATCTGGAGGGTAGGCATCTTTTATTCAATATCTTAAAAAGAAGGTTTAGTTGAAGTTTAAATAAAACAAGATACACCTAAAATAAAGGAGGCCACTGGTTTAAATAAAAATAATGAGCAGATACTCCCTTGCTTTTCTTATTTTCCCTGAACTGTATTTTATTTTACATGAAGTTTGGGGAGAAATGCTAAGATGAAATTTTTGATGGAATTTTTCAGAGATTATGTAACCAGAGACTATTTTCTTTTCTGTTTTTTGTTTTTTTTTCTCGGAGTCTCGCTCTGGCGCCGAGGCTAGAGTGCAGTGGTGCAATATCAGCTCACTGCAACCTCTACCTCCCAGGTTCAGTGATTCTCTTGCCTCAGTCTCTCAAGTAACTGGGATCACAGGTGTGTGCCACCAGGCTTGGATATTTTTGTAGTTTTAGTAGAGACGGGGTTTCGCCACATTGGCCAGCCTGGTCTCAAACTCCTGACCCCAGGGGATTTGCCCGCCTTGGCATCCCAAAGTTCTGGGATTACCAGCATGAGCCACTGCACCCAGCTAACCAGAGACTACTTTCTACATGGCAATATTTAAATGATCCAAGAAGGAAAAGTGAAGACTGTGTGTGTGCTTTACGTTAATGAACTATGATAACTTAGAAACATATATAAGTATCCACACTTTCTTATTTTCACAAAAATGCCATAGAGGGACAAATCAAGAAATAATTAACTAGATATA